AACCTGGAAACTTGTTTTTATTCAGCTGCAACAAATCAAACAAGCCACTCACTCTTTTGTGAATCTGTAATATTACCATTCTGGAGGCGGTTATTCAAAATTTTCAACACAGAAGTGGGTGTTTTATAGAAAACAAGGAAAATTTCAATTTTCACCGGGATGGCATATACATTTCGTTTCGGAAATGCTATCAATTTTGATTTTATACTATTAGCGTTTGCAAATATTTATTGATCATCAATATCGACAAGAAGGAAGATTATTTTTTGAATGCCATCAATTATAGGCACAAAACAATTGACAATGTCAGCTGTCATGAAATTCTGTTTAAAAGTGTGTTTGTTCGTAGGTGATAAAACTATGGAACACAAAGGGAACTGTTCTGGTACAAGTGCAAGTGTGTCATTTAATTAACATATTTGATTTTTTGGGTTTTCTCAATGAGTTAGGTACTTATAGAACAGGAGATGTCTCTGATCACACTTGCACCAGAATAGTTCCCTTCCCACATAGCAATAGATATTCCAGGAATATTTCATGAATATACATTCAAGGTATTATGCTATGATTATGCCATGGATATAGATATCTTCTGGAGAATATTCCCTGAAAGTGCTCCTGGCGAACTTTTGATACATTCCAAGAATATTCTTTGGGGATATTCTTGGAATATCTTGAAATATTCTTAGAATATGTAAGGTATATTCTATTAAAGAAAGCGTCTGTAACACACGTCAATTTCCGCTCTCTCAACTCTCGTTGACTTCGTGCTACTATAGCCTTGGAATGTTTACAGGTTGGGAGCACAGTCGTGAAACTGCTCTTCCTTTCTGGAAGTACTCCCTTCCTGCTCTGAGGTATGTCTCCTCNATATATATATATATATATATATATATATATATATATATATATATATATATATATATATATATATATATATATATATATATATATATATATATATATATATATATATATATATATATATATATATATATATATATATATATATATATATATATATATATATATATATATATATATATATATATATATATATATATATATATATATATATATATATATATATATATATATATATATATATATATATATATATATATATATATATATATATATATATATATATATATATATATATATATATATATATATATATATATATATATATATATATATATATATATATATATATATATATATATATATATATATATATATATATATATATATATATATATATATATATATATATATATATATATATATATATATATATATATATATATATATATATATATATATATATATATATATATATATATATATATATATATATATATATATATATATATATATATATATATATATATATATATATATATGTTAACTCGAAGATTCTCACGGATAAAGTATGATGAGCTGTTTTCTCGGGTTTCGCTCCGTGTTCTGTGTATTTTCTCCCCATAAGGATTATTTTCACAACGTTTCGGCCATGTTTCATTTGCCATCTTCTGGTGATGTCTGGTTTTTTCAACTAGACTAGTTGAAGTATCAAAACTTCAGGAAAGGGTTCGATCAGCAACAACTTTTATCGGGTCAATTTCGCAGACTATCCAGACCACTTCGTTCAAATGGGCTGATCTCCGGCATCCTAGGTGAAAGAGAGTAGGAAAGGCATAACTTCCTTACTCGCGAACCTATACCGGTTTTCAAACTTGCCACATAGTAACTACTCTAGACACATGTTTCATGTCCCATTAGTTACTAACGCTGGTGAGCACTTCGCTCGTATCTGAACTTCGTAGAAAGAGTTCACCCGGCATGACCTTCCAATAAAATTTGAATAAACAACAATAATAATCATGTATTCGGCGCAAAGCTTTCAGCTTCAAATAAGACGAATATTTTCCGGAAAATTGAGAAGAAACTGATGTGATACATGGTCAAATTCAAGTTTATTGACATGAGGTGGAACTACCAGAGCTTTATTATCACCTTCGGCATTCAATACTATCGAAAAACTGATCTCACTTCATGATCCGTGTATCATCCTCAGGTTGATACAAGGTTGATACAAGGTAAGAAGCTCGATCAACGAAATGAAACTATAGTCGTGGAGTATTAGATACGTTCCCTTCTTGAAGATGAGGAAAATGGGTAGAACATCGAAATTTCCTTTTCAACCTCCTCAGACTCTATCTCCCCCAGTCTTCGGTAAAATGATGCCCTTACTACTTTTATTCCTCGAAATTATACCGACTTGCCGCACTCAGGCTCACATCTTAGTCCATTCGTGCGCCAGACTCACGATTGGAAGACCATGGGTTCGATTCCCGCCTCGACCATATATTTTTCTCGGGAGAATTTATCTGTTTGAGGCTGAAATGATTATGAAACTGTGTTAGGAATCACACGTTAAAAGGTGAGACCTCGTTATTCCTTAGCTCGCACAAGTTTCTCAACTTCTGACAGTTGTCGTTTGTATGGGGGTGACAGCTGATTTACGGAAAAACATATTTCAAACAGATTTTAAACAGATTTTTTAAACAGATTTACAATGGAATTTTTAGTTTCAGAGCACATACTTTTATTTCAAATATATGAACATATGTTTAGGTGCATAGTCTTTGAATTTGTTTCGAAATATTCACTTTCTTATACGTATGTGTCTCTCCTCGATACAGTCTTCAGACTTGTTTTGATTTATGTCAGGAGAATTGATACACGAGATGTTTCTTCCCCGCTTGGGGCTTTGTTGACGAAATGAAGCTGTTACTAGTTAACAATATTTCTTTCAGACAAAGGTTTCTTGCGTGCAGTGGAGCCACGTTGAAATTCCGGTCTGTATGTGACCTATTCGACTGATTTTAGCATAGTCTTGCTGCTGAAAGAATGAGAAACATCTGCAAGATTAATCTCTGTGAGGTATCTTGCATAAATATCTGTCGGATATAATCCACTGTCCATCGTGGTAATAGTCGGGTAAGTAGTTGTTTTTCGACAGGCATATACATATTTCGAGATTTCATTTCTAAATATTCATTTTCTCATACGCATGTATCTCTCTTGATTTCTGTCAAGAGAATTGTTACATGGGATGTTTTCCCCGTTAAGGCCTTCAATCACGAGATGGAGCTGTTTATAGTTAACAATATTTCTCTCACACGAAGGTTTAATACATGCAGTGGAACTGCGTGGTCACCAATCTACTCGACTGAATGCTGTTGAATTAAAAAGAAACACCTGCAATACTGACTTTTGTGAGATACCTTGCATAATTGTATGTCGGATATAATTCNTTATATATATATATAAATTTCAGCTTCCTAGAGAAGGAGAAACCGAGATGAATGGGTGTGTGTTGAGTGAGTGACTTTCGCATTTATAAGTAAGTATAGATTTTGTGCTCAACGTGTCCTTTTCCAGAAACTGACACCATGTCTACTTCTAGAGGCTAACTGAACATAATTGATCAACTGGAATCTATTCAAAAAATTAATAGATTTCATTTTCAATATGCGTTTTACAAAAACAATAGCTTCTCCAGTAACAGAGCTACTGTTGTACTGAAACCCCTTCTGGAAATGAAGTCATCGGTCAATCATCAAGATGAATGAAGAATTTCACTAGTTTGGACTTTCATTGTCTATTATATAAAATGATTTGAAATCCCTGAAATGACAATGGGATCGCCACTTTCACCTGTCATAGCCAACATATATATGGAGTGGTGTGAAAATCTGGTCATTGAAGAAGCCCACGAGAAACCTCGAGTTTGGTTGAGATATGTTGACGACACTTTCATAATATGGAACCAAGGGAATACTGAACTTGACGCTTTCCTTCTCAACAGCATGATACCTTCCATCATTTTTACAATGGAGAAAGAAATCCACCAACGCATTGCTATTGTTAGACGTTGTGGTGAAGAGGACCAAACTAAGTGAGAAACAGCAAATCAGGAATAACAGACCATGTTTGGATCCATCAACACAACATCGAGTGGTGCCAAGCTGAGATCATACACAGAGAGGAATATTGGTTTAGGAGAAAATTCAAGGAAGTAGATTTCATTTCTAAATATTCATTTTCTCATACGCATGTATCTCTCTTGATTTCTGTCAAGAGAATTGTTACATGGGATGTTTTCCCCGTTAAGGTCTTCCATCACGAGATGGAGCTGTTCATAGTTCACAATATTTCTCTCACCCGAAGGTTTCATACATGCTGTGGAACTGCGTGGTGACCGATCTACTCGACTGAATGCTGTTGAATTAAAAAGAAACACCTGCAATACTGTGAGGTACCTTGCATAATTGTCTGTCGGATATTATTCAATGTCCAGCGTGGTATTAGCCGGGGAAGTAGTTGTTTTCTGGCATTAACCAGAACCTGCTGTCTAGGTAAAGTTAATATTTTGAGAATAAAATTCGGAATATTTATTTTCTTATCCGTCTTTCAATTTCTACAACAATTATGAATATACTAGTCATCCGCCCCGGCTCCACACGGGTACAATGCTATACTACAGAATGTCTTTATATACAACTTTCACAGCTTTTTTGTTAGTAGACAATACAAACATGTTTTCTTTAGAGGCTGCTCTTGAAAGAGACGTTTTTGCTTACTTGCTCTCATATCATGATATATAGTGCAAAGACGATTAATGAAAACCTTCAAGGACTGGCAACATTTAGAATTGAATTTGAAGTATTATTTTTTTTTCATACACATATTGCTTTCAGTTCTGAAAAAATTAATTTATCTGAATCTCTTGACAAAATTCCTCTCGCTTGTTAGGCTGTAATGCTTTTTTAAAAATAGTGAATTTCAATTGATCAGGAAAAATACAATTTGTATTTATTGCATGTACAAGTGAATAATGAACTTTTTTTCAAATAACCATTGGAAACTCATCTGCATCTGATGAGTGAGTTATCAAAAACTGAAAATCATATGCCAGAAAAACAAAAGTAAATGGATCTAGTCTCGTTATAATCACACAATTGATATTTATGATGGAACATTAACAAATATACATAATTTAGCTCAGGTCAGTTGTCAGATGAATCAGTTTCACATGGGCTCTTTGAGTTGCCTTCTCCTTTGAAAACAACTTCTTTTTTCACTCCGTTCAAACTTTTATCACTCGAAGTTTTCAGACACGATTTACTTGGCATTCTAAACGGGCTAGTGGATCGGTCTGAATTAGAAATACATTCACAGTTCTCCTTTTTCCTTTTGTTTGAGTTCGAGTCACCTTTACTGCCTGTCGGGCTTTTAGATCTTGACCTACTTTTGGGAGATACTGATCTACTTGGACTTCTGGATCTAGATCTACATGGAGTTCGGGATCTTGATTCCTTTTTTCTTGTCGAACTCCTCGACCTTGATCGAGATTTTCTTGTATTCTTGGGTTCAGAATCGTGTTTTCTTTTATTTGCTCTCCTCGAAGAATATTCACAGCAGCTTGAACATTTATTTTGTGAGAATTGAATTCGGCGTGATTTCCTCAAGACATTTTTGGCTACGCACTGAACTGAATTGAATGATCGTTGAATTTCTTCTAATTTAGCTTTCACACATGGTTCAGGAATGAGGTGCAAATTCGCAGCTGGACTCACTAGAGAATAATATTTTTTCTTTTTTGTTACTAACCGTGATTGATCTGCCACACTTATAGAATTTTCCAACTGGCTACGGATATCTCCTGTGAGGCAGTAAGTTTTCTCCATGAATTTCTCTATTTCATCTAGACTGACTCCATTACAATATTCTTCTTTGCTTTGCAATATCTTGATGGAATTCAATACTTTGTAAAAGAAACTGGTTGTAGGCTTACAGTGTTTGGGAGGACATTTTGTCATTTTTTGACATTGTGATTTTGTGATAAAATACTATTTAGCGAAAAATTCGGATGAAAAATAAATAAGGTGCCATCAATGACATATTAAATCGAGTGTCAATTCCACTGTCAAGAATGAAATGACAAGACAGTCCCGAAACAGAATTTGTATAGTCTCCTTTTTCCACCAGTGATGAAACTGTATGAAAATATACATTATTGCCTCGCCAGATACCATGTATATTAGAACAAATTACTTTCGAAAAATTATAAAAGTTTCTCTCAGCTTTCTGAAACTTTCTTAGGCCATCATTTGTTGTGCTTCCGAAAACATGCAGATGAAACTATGCATCTCATAGAGACTATTGTACAGGGTACGCCAAAAGTTGCGGAATGATAACTTTTTTCATGGAAAGTAACTTTTTATAATTCATCTATTCAAATCGATGGTCGCTCGAAATGTTGAGGAAATTTGTGGGTACACAACTGTCTATGAAGAAGAAAGTAATACAAATCTTGAAATTATGAAAGAACAAAAATTAATTGGCGCTCCGGGTGGGCTTCATTTTTTCCAGTGGCGCATTTGCTTTTTCAGTTGCTGGAAAACCCGGAAAAAACCTGCAGCACCACATCAACTGAAGATCTTGGTCTATCAATGTCCTCTCTTTCATAAAACTGAATGAAGGGTGTCTCCAGAGGCTCCAATAAATTCAAGACATCGCCAAAACACTTAGTCATACGACTATCGTCAAACTTAAACCAGTCTGTTTCGTCTTTGACCAATGCATAATAATGATTAGATTCAACGTCAGAACCACAGCAAACAATGACTGCATGAAGATTACACTAGTGGTATGCTAGATTGAAGTGTTTATCTATTTCAAACCTTCGTAAGAGTTTGGTGCTTCCGTCAGAGGTTGAGTCATGTTTGAAGATTATCAGTGTTATTATTAGATTGACTGGTGTCTCAGCTAAACTCGTTTTCCCATGATAGTCAGTTAGTTTGGCCCATGTTTGGCAATACAGTTGATCATCACCCGTTAAAAGTTCAACTTTCAGATGATTTAACAATAAGCTTTGCACGGACTGGTTATCAGTCATATTAGGAAACACTAGTTGAAGTTCCAGAAAATCACATACGTTTTTCCTACCTCTCGAACATCAACTACAAAGTAAACAAGTGAAAATTTTTCCAGCAAAATATCTACAAACACAAGACGAGATAGGCTCTTCAAAATCATTCAATCCAGAACGGTCAGGAGTATTGATTCTGCAATTTTTTTTGTTCACAAAGAGTGTTCAACAAAAACAAGAGTCTTCTTGTTGTCCTAATGAGTATCTAGGGGTGGTGAGAAAGTTAATGTTTGGAATCACTGAAAGTAAAGAAACAGTTCTATATGTCTTGATCGGAAAGTCTTTTCGTGAGGCGAGTTAGAGAGCTGATTTCTGGAATATTTTGATTGGCCTTTATCAGAACAAAAAGCTTTATTATTGTTTTGATGATTCCGGAATTACGACAACTGACTTTGTCAACAAGAATTGTATTCTTTCGACAATAAAGCATATTCTGATTCTGATTCTGGTGACAGTCTCGCCATCTACACCTGTAGTTCCTAAGTAACTATAATCTCAAATTGACGAGAAGGCGAGAAAAAAGTTTTCAGAATTAATAAAGCGATCACAGCGCTTCATCGCTTATACAACAGCATTGAAAAATATAGCGAATATGAAAAATGCGATTGAAAGTGTTATCTGCAGGTACAGTGTTGATCGACATCTGATGAATCGTCCGATACCTGTCAATATATACGAAACTACAATTTGATTCAAACCTGTTAGTATTACCTCTCAGATTGGAAAAAATCACCAGAAATATACATTGATCCAGATAATAGTCTCCTAATATGTGCCTAACATAGTGCTTGAAATTCTGCAGTGCCTATTCTATAACGAGCAATATGCTGTGACATTTGACAGAAAAATCCACAAGTATTGGATTCTTATTGGAGATATCAGTTGAATTCGACATCGTTTTGACACCGTCCAGAAAATGAGATTCATATTAATGAACAGACATAATGAAAAATAGGAAACAGCTTGGTTTACAAAAGGTACTGAGAGCTCAGTCTTTTGAAAGTGAAATATCCTGAACACGACTACGGCATAGGTAACTGAATTTAATTTCTAATTTGAACCAGAATAGTTTTTCTGATAAAGCGAAGACCTATTTCCAACGTAGGCAAGTATAAAAACATTTTTGGATATTGAAGACATGAAGGTGATGAATGTTTCATTACAAGATCCTATTTTATTCCTCAAAGGGATATTTTTCATAGTTATAGATATATGTTGAGTCCACCTCAATTTTGGAGATGTATTACCTACCAAGTTAGAATGGAAGTTTTTCTTTGATTTTACGAAGTTTCATTTGAAGGACACCATGAAAGTCGTTCAGATGATTTTATTGTGGAACGAAAATAACCTGAAGAGAAATCTAGCCTTTGGTTACTGGGCGTCTACAAGAATTTAAGCTGCTCCCCTTTGGAATATTTGTAATTTTGAACAATTATGTTCGATGATAACGGCACCAATAACAGTGCTGGCATTAGAAACCGAGTCATTCAATAATATTCTTCAGATCCCTATTATTTTTTAGTCTCATCTGGTGCTTTAGTCTCATCTGGTGCTGGTACTTCTTGATAAGGTGCTTGAAGCACTGATTTTCATCCATTCTAACCTTAGTCTACTCACGAAATAATTTTGTTACTTTCGATTCAACTAATATTTTTAAAACTAACTTTATGTATCACTGGTTTTGTAAGAATTTCAAATTTGATTCGTAACTCCAACCTTAGCCCTTTCAGGAAAATTTTTTTTATGATACAGCCATTTTTCACAAGGCAAGTAGCTAGGAGCAACTGGAACTATGTAGTTTGATTCGTAACTCCAACCTTAGCCCCTTCAGGGAAATTTTTTTTATGATACAGCCATTTTTCACAAGGCAAGTAGCTGGGAGCAACTGGAACTATGTAGTTGAATCGGATCTGGTTTTGATCAAAAATTGGCTCGAGCATCGATTATTGACAGTGAATCTGGAGAAAACTCACTATATACCATTCAGTTGCAATAATTTCAGCAAACCTTGATACTCACAACTGAAAATTTATCAATATGTAATACTTCCCAAGTTAAAGTGAAATACTTAGGAGTAATAATAGATTCACATCTTAAATAGGATGTTCATATTCAGTATATTTGTAATAAGTTACGTTGCATACCTTTTAAATTTGAAATTTTGGTGAAAATATTAACGAACTCTAACTTCAAAATTTTGTACCATGCACTTGTAGCGAGTCACCTGAGCTACGGAATCACTTGTTGGGGAGGAACCTACCATACGCACCTTCGTCCTCTTGAGGTGCTCCAAAACAAGTTACTGAAATTAATATTGTCCAAACCGCCTCATCATTCAACTGAAACTCTGTCCAACGAAGCAAAAGTTTTTGATATTCGCCAGCTCCTTTATTATAATATTATCATCCATTACCATATGAACAGAAATTTTGCTCTACCGACTCACTTGCACAACACCCGCAGAAAAAATTATCATGTCATTCCCCAGACACAAAAGTCAATTTTCCAACACTCTCATACTTAGCTGGCTTCGAAACTGTATAATAATATTCCTGAGGAGATTCGTACTTTCCGAATGATTCACTTGTTTAAAAAAAATGAGAGTATTAATTTCTTTTTCAACCTAGGGTCTTAGTTTCCGATTTTATTGACAGAAAAAATACTTGAATTCCATGTACCTACATGATTAGGTACTATCATTATTTCAATTAGGAAACCGCACACTACATTGTTATATTTATATTATACATTTTATTGTGTTCCAATTATCTATTGTGCCATTTTCTTTTACTTGTATGCAGGTACGTATCATTCTTTCCATTTATTCAAAATTTTACTTTTATTTACATTGTATTTTACGTTGTGTAACTGAAATTGCCACTGACGATTGTTATATCCGTTATATCCACATCATCCGTTCAAGAGTTCACGTGCATAAAACGTGTTTTTCCTTCATAGAAAATGTTACAAGATATCCTTGGTCAATTGGGACTGAAAAATCACCACAAAATAAAAGCACTGACTCAACATGAATTTTAAACATTTACAAGTGTCATCCCAACATAACTGCAGATGAACTGAAATCATTATAGAGTGACAAATTTCCTGAAGCAACAGTCCTCCAATCATTCACGCATCCTTAGAAATTAACATTGAACTACAAAATCTCCCCGAAGTGTTGAAAATCGAATTATTATGACCCGAACGAGCTTCTTCTTCTTTTTCACCGGCGACAATTGCGCGACAAAGATGACTATTGTGTTGACTCACCTGATTGAAATTAATTATTTTTTTATTTTCCATATCAATATTCGTAGTCTTTCGAATATTGGTGAAGCCATTTCCATTGAGCCTCATCTTAAAAGATAATTGATTGTGGTAACTATTCAGATGAGTTTCATTCCGAGTTATGCTATACAGGGTGTTTCAAATTCGATCCTACCCATTGGGATCTCGAAGACTATGAGAGATACGAATATGGTTGAATTGGGCAGGAGTTGCGCATTTACGTGACTAACAATATGCCGTTGAGAAAGTTCTGAAATTCCGAGTATATCCGGAAAAAACAAAAATTTCGGAATATGCTTTTAATTTTTTCTGGCTTTATTTTTCGAAGGATTCGAGAATATATTGCACTTCCACATTGCCACTTTTTCCATGCTACACTATTGTTTTCAGATTTGCTATCCGATGTTTCGTCTTCCGGCCACCATCATCAACTTTTTTTTATGGGCGCTATATTGTATTCTTTCTGTTTTCAATAGAATCAGATTTGAACTTCTCAATGATGTATCATTAGTAATCATTCTGTTTCGAAAAATTGGAGATATTGGAAAAAAAAATTCTTATCATAAAAGGGTTTGACTTTTATGTTTCTTGATTTGACTCTCAATTTGTTACCCTCAATGACATTTCGTTATTGTACAAGTCATTGAATTTTTGGCGAAAAATGGCTTTCACGAATTAAGAAAAAAGAGTTATGATACAAATTTATTACAAATACGATAGAAACAGTGTTAGGACATCGGAAATGTATTTAAACTTGTATCCCGAAAGACGACAACCACATCGAACTATGTTCAAGTTATTAGATCAAAGTTTCACCGAGTTTGGTTCATTTGAAAAGCTGAGGAAAAAATACGAAGACAGAATGGATCAGCAAACTGAAGAAAATTTGATAAATGAGGTATGTATTAGGTAAGTTAGACATTGTGTCCTTTTCAATAAAAATTAATAATTGGCAGATAAACATGAACCCGGAGAAATCTACACGTCATATTTCCTCCTAAATGAATATTTGTCATACAAGTGCATGGAGACAATTCATAACAAGCGCTTTAAAATGTTACAAAATACACATACCTCAAAAAATGCATCCAGGTGATCCCAAAAGGCGATTAGAATTTTGTAAATGGCCAATAAGAAAACCAGATTCTTGTTTTCCTTGAAAATGTAATTTGGACAGATGAAAGCACTTTTACGAATTGTGCATAAACAACCCCAGGAAGTTCCGAGAAATTCGACATCAAGTGCGATTTAGTATTAACATGTGGGCAGGAATTTACAAAGATAGAATTTTGGATCCTCATTTATTTGACATTTATTCTGAATGGAGAAACCTATCAACAGTTTTCAATGTCGATTTTCGAAGACTATTTGGATGATCTACCTTTGGCTAACTATAAAAACATCTGGTTTCAACATGATGGTGTTCCACCGTACACTACCCATCGAATATCTAATTACCTGACTGAAAGGTTTGGTGATAAATGGATAGGGAATAATAGGCCGGTGAAGTCGCCAGCAAGGTCTCCAGACTTAAGTGTTATGGATGCATTCTTATGGGGTACACTGAAAAATAGAGTTTAAAGTCAGAGGGAATATAAAAACATTGAGGACCTTCAACACAGCATTGTTGTGAATAATAGTCGAAGAAGGGCACAGTTATGTAATCATGAACAAGGCCCGCATTTTGAGCAATTCCTGTGATTTACAATTGTCTTTACATTTCAGTTTATTATTGTTATTTGTTCAAAGTTCTATTTTCATTGAAAATGACACAATGTTTAATTTACCTCATACACACCTCATTTATCAGATTTTGATTGTTGTCGTCTTTCGGGATATATATCTCTTTTTTCTTCATTCGTGAAAGCCATTTTTCGCCAAAAATTCAATGACTTGTACAATAACAAAATGTCATTGAGTGTAACATATTGAAAGTCAGTTTTAGAAACATCAAAGTCAAAACCTATTATGATAAGAATAATTGTTTTTCAATATCTCGAATTTTTCGAAAAAGAATGATAACTTCTGATACATCATTGAAAAGGTAAAATCTGATTCTCTTCAAAACAGAAAGAATCCAATGTAGCGCCTATAAAAAAAAAGTTGATGATGGTGGCCGGAAGACGAAACGTCGGATAGCAAATTTGAAAACACCATTATGTGGCAGGGAAAAAATTGCAACATGGAAATGCAATTCATTTTAGAATCCTTCAAAAAATAAAGCCAGAAAAAATAAAAACCATTTTGCGAAATTTGTTTTTTCCGGACATCTCCGGATATACTCGGAATTTCAAAACTTTCTCAACGGCTCATCTTCGTATCTCTCATAGTTTTCGAGATCCCAATGGTGAAGATCGAAATTGAAACACCCTGTAAAAACTGAACCCCTGAAAATGTTAGGCATCTGCTTATACATATATGGAGTAGTTGATTTAGATATATCTTTATGATTTTAAAATTATACAAGGGTGTTTATCTCTTAGCAATTTGAACGAAATCTAATGAGTTAGCGTTATTGAACCCTGTTTCTCAGAAGATAATAGTAAATTGATAAACTTGAATGACGAGGTATTTCGAACACGTGTAACACATGTTGCAGTTATTTATCTGTCCAGTGAAAATTTCACAATGGAGTGTTATAGATTTTTCCCAACTATCGGCCAATTCCATCACATATGATGAGGTATCTGAAACACCAACTGTTTATTGTAGATGCACTAAAAACATTAAACAAGCGCGGTCTGAAACCTCGGAATGTTTTGCCTTTCCACTTCTCCATCTTTATACAAGCAAATCTGAGAATCTTCCAAATGAATAAATGAAAGTAATTAATTTCAAAAAATCAACTCTATACAAATATGTGTAGATCTTGCATTTCTTCTGAAAAATTAACTTGACAAGAAAACCTCCAGTGGAATAGTCCAACTGAGGATGCCGCTGTGTGGTGAAACGCGCATTGAAAATAAAATCTATATTTTGTAATTCATGAATAGTGTTTTGATTCTCACCAAGTAATATATCAGTTTTTCCTACATTAATTATTTCACAAGGTTACTCCTGAAATAATATCTCTCACTATAAATCACAATGAAAAGACGATTTCATCTTTGCTTATGGAGACGCCATCTATGGAATCGACAGAAGACTCAATTCACGAATATTAAAAATGAACGAGGCTGTCTAAGGCAGTCTGTTGCAATGAGATTCGTCTTCTGTATTTCACTTCTGTGGGAGACAGATGTCACGTTCCAATGATAGCTCTTTAAGAACAGTTGAGTCCAGTAAAGCATTCCTGATTCAGCCTAATACCACTGATGGGGGTTAGCGTTGTCTGGTGTTCGAACACACATTTTGGGGTCTGATTAAATCTAGTTGCCCTGCAGTGAAAGACAGAAGACGAATCTTGTTCGGTGGTATATGTCGAGAATTGGCATTGCAACAGACCGTCTTCAGAAAAGACTCGTTCATTTTTAATATTCGTGTACTGAGTCTTTTGTCGATCCTATGATTGGCGTCTTCGTCAAAGGGGGAATTATTTTCACTCACTCGGGTTTGTCCTTTGAGAAACGAGTACAACAATGCATTTATACCTCAAAAGAGCGCTGTCTGATGTTGGATCACTGACGTTTTTCAGACTTTGTTGCCATACTTATTGCATGGTTTTTAGTTGTGATTATTACATTGTTTGCAGGTTCATGACAGTATACCACCTTTCGAGGGTGTTCGGTATTTCATTGATCACCAACTTTCATGATTCTTCTTTCACACACTATGCCCATGCATTTTTGAATTGTAGTAAAATAATCAACTGACACACATGGAATGAGTGATGAAACCACGGGAATTAAGATTAGACAAACATTTATATTATAATCTGTTAACATAATTCAAAAACGTCCTGACGTGTTCTTCAAATATTTGTTTGGGTTGCTGACCATGTTCGTCATTCAGTCGATGTAAAAATAATGATCCGTCTTTCGTGCCAATCATCTGTAAATAAATAAATCTGTCTGAATGGTTGAAGTTTTGATACAAACACTAGTGATAAAATAATTGAATTATAGAATGCAACTAGTTGTGCAGCTTTTCAGCCTATGTATACTAATCTATAACAATATTATAAATGTGAAAGTTTGTGGAGATGGATAAATGTATGTATGTATGTATGTTTGTGGCTCTTTCACGCATAAACGACTGAACAGATTTAGATGAAACTTTACATAAATGCAGCTTATATATCAGAATAACATACAGGTTACAATTAACAAAGGTTTTGTGTAAGTTTTGCTCCCTGAGGGCTATATGTGCGTGCCCTACCTATACCGTTGGAGTTACATGAAAATAATGTACCATAAGATTGTTCATCTCAAATAGTTCTAAATAAAAGTCCCCGGTAGCATATATCATCATGTGGTAGCCACTATATGCAAAATACTGAGCCATAAATACATTTAAATTGGATACTTTTTTACAATGCACATTTTAGAATATCTGTCAAATTCTTATAAAAATTTTAGCTATTCCCCACTGTTATACCCGCGTTACCGTGGAAAACTACCTTATGGGTTATTCCAGGTCATAATCTATCTATATACTAACTCACGTTTGAATTCCTTAAGCTATTCAGACGTGAAGAAGTAATACACGTAAATACATATATTACAGTCACCCATCCTCACAAACTTTACGCATTTATATTATAAGTAGGAGTAGGATTAGTAGGATTACCAATGTATTTCATTCTTATCCTTTCAGTTTTTTTTTGCTGATGCTATTCAATATTGTATGCAGGTAGGTTCTTTTTATAGCATAAATGAGCATCAAGAAAGGGAATCAGGAATGTCCACGCCAAGAAGGGAAAATAGGTGTTAAAAGATTGTATTGTTTTTTATAAAGATACCAAAATATTAGAGAAAATCCTTCGAAACGCTTCAATAGAGGTGATTGGTGTGAAAATGGTGATTGGTGTTAGTCGTTCCCTGTTAAAATATGTGTGTGAGGCAGTCTTTCGTTTTTTCGTGATATTGCAAACTAGCAATTTCACTAATTACGTTCGGATCGCCAATCTGGGGAGTAACTCTTCTAGGCATGTTATAATTTTTGCTTCACAAGGCTTCTGTCACCGGTTAGAGAAAAGCCTGCTGCAGTAGGCTTGCCTCTTTGATTTTTTAGTCTTTTCCAATATGTTGTTCTCACACAACAGACATATGCAATATACAGAGGTTGTATCCATGACCCTGTCATAAACCACCAATATAACCCATATCAGATCACAATAACGATATAAGACCCACTTGATGCAGGTGCACGAACATGTGATTGTTATGAACTGAACTAACTCGCTAAGGCTAAATAGTTGATTCTGAAACTTGTTTAGCCAATGTATACATAACAATTGTTCACATGACGTAACGATTTCACTTTTGTGAAACTTATATACTAGCAGATATACTAGCAAAACTACCGTTTTGCTAGTATATCTGTTAGATCTGGTGGTCCATGAAAATTTATTCGAGTAGTATAATAATAGTGCTGAAGCTTAAACTTCCTAATGAGCTAATTTACCAAATGAGTGGAGGGTTGTGATGTTCAGATGATTAATGTGTCTATAACATTTTTGGGAAGAAGATGCTCTCGGTTCTGCACTCTGAATGATGTGGCGGAAGAAATGTCCAAAAATCAACCTGGACATCTATTCCAGAACTTCTCAAGTTTGAGTACACGTTCAAATTATTTTTGGAGCCATCATTTTTTCTAACATGAAAATCCAAAGATCAATATTGTATCAGAACAGAAAATCAGTAACGTTGATATCAACAATGGCGCTGTTGTCAGATGTACTGTGAATCAACTTTCATCAGTATTCAATAATTTATCTCAAACTATATGTTCATTATTTCGAATTTTGGCCCTATCACCTTTTTTAATGAGTTATCTCATCCTCAGCGCATCGAAAAGTTTGACTGTTGAGACATTTTCATGAAGAGAATCATTATATATATATATTTGAGTGCGAATGTACGTTACCATATTATACTTACCATGTAAGATTTCTCAATTTCACTACGTTTCGTTGAAGGAGACAATGTCATGCAAGTTATTTCCTTTCCGATTGGAATAGAATATATTGGTACCATGTCACTCTCGCTCAAATCCCAAATGTGTATTGTATTTCGTTTGTCTTTGGTGTATATCAAAAAAGGTTTATTTTTGGACCACTGTAGGAGTTCAATACTGCATTCATGAATTCTGCTTTCTTTGTCTGAGAGAACCATAATAGGAGTTTCTATCATTCTTGAATAGAGATGTATATTTCCGTTTTCATAACCAGCGAGAAAATAATCTGGGGTGAATGGGCATGTGTCCATACAATTGGCTTTAGAAATCGTTTCTGGAAAGTATAAATCAAAACTAATTGATTATCATTAATTTTTAGAATCGAATATCTCAACTAAAATGGATACTTTAAGTATCAATGTATTTGGAATGCTTGTATAGAAGATCAATTTTCATGTTGCATTTTCTGGGAACAACTGTTAGTGAATTCCTGGACAATTTTACTCATATACTCAAGTTATTTCGATTATTCGATATATCTGAAGCTTTCAATTTTTTTTGTATGTCATTTAATATGTCAAAAGGAGATTGAATAGAACTGGCCGATACTTGATCAAAATCCATATTAAAACTCATTCATAGTGAAAATCATACAATAACTGTATCAATGAGTTTCAAAAGCAGATACTTTCACTAAAATTTTTGATAGTGGTACTAATATGAATATGCTCGACGCTCAACTCGTTTAATTTTCCGACGATTATTTATTAAACGTGCGGTCGGGCGTTGTCGTGTAGAAAGATTGGACTTATTCTGTTGACCAGTGCCGACTTCTGCTGACACAATGTTCGGTATAATTTCGTCGATTTTCTCACAATATGACTCTGCTGTAATGCTTGGGCTGGTTGCAGAAAGTTAAAGTGAATCACACCAGCCATTGATCACCATAGAGTAGCCATGGTCTGATCTGGTTTGTCGATTGTTCAAATCGTGGGGCACCTACTTTTCGAGCTTATTGACACAATACGTTTCAAAGTATCAAAAACCGCATGGGAGCTGACACACAGTTCTTCCGTCATCCCACATACCGTTTGTGATGGGTCAATCTTCATCCTCAAATCCTCGTCCTGGTTTACTGTAGGTCGACCTCTTCGGAAAACATCAAATTTAGAAAATGATGAACAGCATCAATATATAGAGTACAAAATTGTCTAACGCATGACACTGAAATCGACAAAACTTCTGGAACTACCCAATACAATTGATTTCCTCAATTCTGACTTCATTTGACAAGAGTAGCACTAACTTCCAACGGTAATAAATTCTTCCTTCGTTTGCATTACTGATACTTAATGGTCATTTTCCTCATAGTCAAGTGAGAATTATATCATAGCGTTTTTGAGCAAAAATTCAGAACGTTGTCGATACATATACATATATTTGATCTTACCGATCAAATATAGTGTGTATTTCGGCAGGTGATTTTGTACAAACAAAGATTTACGAGATTAAATTCATTTCTTTCATTGAGAATTTGTAGCAACGAGGATCCGATAAGGTGAATTTTCATTTTTCTTATAAAATGTTTATTTATTCATCATTTTTATTTTGTCTCTTTCGAAGTAGTCCTACTCAAATTTAATCTCCTTGTACCAAGGTTTCTTCAAATCCTCAAAGCAGTTCTGATATGCACTTTTGGTATGACTTTGAGGTCTCTCAGCGATTCAGTTTTTATCGTCGCGAAGCGAGTAAAAGTAAAAAGAAATGAAATAAGCAAAAAATTGAAAAAAAGAAATCTGTTGACATATTCGACAATAATGAGTCATTTATATGAATGGATAAGAGTATCGGTCCAAAAACTGTACCTTGGGGTACGCCGTAGTTGATTACCCCTTCTTCACTTAGAACATTGTTAATTTTCACTACATGTCTTCTATCAGAAAGGTAACTAGTGAGTAATTTGTTTGATTTTCCTCGTAATCCTTTACCGTCCAAAGTTTGTAACAACTCCTCATGACTAACCGTGTCAAGACCATTGGCCAAATCCAGGAACACACACAAATTGGGCTGACTCTCATCTAAGGACATGGATACTTCTTTAGTTAGGTAGACAATTGCATCGTTTGTTGACATTTTCTCTCGAAAGCCAAATTGCTTATCAGACATTATTTTATGTTTGTTTAAAAAGACATTTATTCTGTTCTTGAGTGCTTTTTCAAATATTTTTGCAAGAGAGGTAATTACTGATATGGGTCTGTAATTCGATAGTAATGTTTCGTCTTCCTTTTTGTAGATTGGTGTGATTACGGCTTTCTTGAAACCACTCAGACATTTGCTAGTAGCAAATATGTTATTTATAAGGTGAGTAAGAAGTTCTCAAAGCAGTTCTGATATGCACTTTTGGTATGTCTTTGAGGTCTCTCAGAGATTCAGTTTTTATCGTCGCGAAGCGAGTAAAGAGTAAAAAGAAATGAAATAAGCAAAAAATTGAAAAGAAGAAATCTGTTGACATATTCGACAATAATGAGTCATTTATATGAATAGATAAGAGTATCGGTCCAAAAACTGTACCTTGGGGTACGCCGTAGTTGATCACCCCTTCTTCACTTAGTACATTGATAATTTTCACTACTTGTCTTCTATCAGAAAGGTAACTAGTGAGTAGTTTGTTTGGTTTTTCTCGTAATCCTATACCGTCCAAAGTTTGTAACAACTCCTCATGGCTAACCGTGTCAAGAGCCTTGGCCAAATCCAGGAACACGCACAAATTGGGCTGACTCTTATCTAAGGACGTGGATACTTCTTTGGTTAGGTAGGCAATTGCATCGTTTGTTGACATTTTCTCTCGAAAGCCAAATTGCTTATCAGACATCATTTTATGTTTGTTTAAGAAGTCATTTATTCTGTTCTTGAGTGCTTTTTCAAATATTTTTGCAAGAGAGGTAATTACTGATATGGGTCTGTAATTCGATAGTAATGTTTCGTCTTCCTTTTTGTAGATTGGTGTGATTACGGCTTTCTTGAAACCACTCAGACATTTGCTAGTAGCAAATATGTTATTTATAAGGTGAGTAAGAAGTGACAGAATTTCATTTGAGATATCTTGGATCACTTTTGTGCTTATTCCATCTATACCTGGAGTTTTCTTGGAATCTGGTTCTTGAATTATGGTTAATTTTTCCTTCTCGTCTACAGGGTTAAGAAAAAAAGTTTGGTAAAGCCTTGTTCTATTTTGTCTGCGTGACGTTTTTGGTATTTTATTGGTGAGCGATTCTCCACAAAAATATTTGTTGAAAGTATTTGCATTTGATTCGTCAGGAATCGATAGTTCGTTGTTTTCGTTTTTGATGTTTTGTTACTTCAAGAAGTTAGCATCCAGAATCGTCTTCGGGTGATGACTATTAGAATCATATTTGACAGTGGAAGTATGAACTAGTGAATTCTACCATGAAACATTGTCAATCACTTTCAAACAAATGAGTACGGTGTTGTTTTTGACCAAACAACTACGAAAAACCTATGAAGCGTGAGCAGGTGCATTATCGTGATGCAAAGGACAAGATTTGTTTTTCCACAATACCGGATGTTTTCTTCGTATTGCTTATCGCAATGCGTATAACCTCAAGATAATACTCCTTATTGACCTTAAGACCATGTGGTAAGAATTACTGATGCACTACACCACGGTAATGGAAAAAGCAGTGAAGAAAACCTTGATATCTGATCGAACTTCGCATGCTTCTCTTGGTCTTGACTCTCCTGGGTATGCTTCTCCTGGGACGATCAGACTTTGGTTTTGATGTCGGTCGGTAGCCAAGCGGTTCGGCGTGGGTGATTTGTTCACTCACTCGAATTGACTGCCGTGTTGGTCGGTGGTTCAAGTCCTAGTCTGAACGATCGATCTTCACTTGCTATCGTCCAACCCGTGTTAGAAATCACACGTTAAAAGGTAAGACCTCGTTAATTCTTGGCTTGCACAAGTTTCGAATTCTGAGGGTTGTCGTTCGTAGGGGTGCGACAGCTGGTTAACGGAAAAACACATTTTAAACAGATTCAAACAGATGTCATAACCATACACCCATGATTCATCACCAATAATGACCCTTTTGAGCAAATCTGGATCGCCGATGACATCATTCAACAATTCCAGAGCGATTCTAAAGCGTTGTAGAACGAACTTCGCTGCCCGCCACACGCTTCAGGCCCAACATTTACAGAAATATTGCATGGCATGGGCCAATCAATATGTCGACATCAACAGCAAATTCTCTAATTGTGATTCGACGAATCTCCATAACAATTTTCTTCTCTTTCCCAACATTCTCATCAGTTGTTGATGTGCTGGGGCGTCCAGGGCAAGCGACGTCATTCACATCTCGACCTTCTGTGAAAAGCTTGTAACACAGGGTACAATCACCGTATGCCACTGTCATCATTTTGAATATTTTCCAGCATTTAACTTAATTTTTCAAACAAATAACAAAACAAACATGCTAAACAGCTGAAACTGTGAATATATATTCGAGACAAGTGAACCAACATTGAAAAATGAATCGCTAATCGTATGTATGTAGCCCACGAAATTTGAACATCCACCTTATTTTTTGATCAGCCACGTTTACGTGTATAAGTGAAAAAAAGTGGTATACTAACAAACACTGAATATTTCTAAACATGTGATTATTTCATTGCATAAATGTGTATGGTCAGGGTGTCACATTTTCATCATTACTGAAATGTTAAATCTGGAAAATCATAGGACTTATCTGTAATAAAACTATTCACATTCCGATATACAGGGTGACAATTCGAAAGCTTACAATGGCTATATCTGAGCAACCAAATTAAATATGACAACTCGCTGAAAACAACTTCCAAAATGATGTAACAGCTAACTTGTTTTCACTTACCCCCTCCCTCTCAGCTATCTCAACTTCATAGTCCTAAATGGCAACCCCCTACATGTGAAACTTCATCTAAATGCTCTCAAGAAATGCTCTTTAATGGTACCTTACAAAGCTAAATTCGATGTAGTAGTTTTTAGTTTATTGAATCAAACACTATTTATTTAAATTAAAATTTTATGTTCTATCAATAATTTGAGAAATGTTCAAAATGATTTCCATTCTCAGTAAAGACAATAACAGAGTATATTCTCAAACTCTTGACGTACATTGGCAAATGTTTCTGTGGAACTCTGCACTCTTGGATTATTCTTCCCTCCAGTTGCTCTATTTAGTCGGGTTGCATCTAAAGAACAATAGATTTCAGGTGGCCCTGGAAGAAGAAATCAAGAGGAGATAGGTCCGGGGATCTGTGGGACCATTCAATAG